CCACATGCAGTCAGACTGAGCTTTGCCAAAACACATCTTGAAGATTCTGAGGCAGATGAGACTAAAATTTTATTATTTGGCCTCAACACCAAACGAAATGTCTAATTCAGCTCACCATCCAAATAACAGCATTCCTCCAGTAAAGCATGGAGGTGGTGATGTCCTGTTATGGGGTGTTTCACTGGAGCACTCGTCAGGATAGAAGGAAAAATGGATCGGGCAAAATACCCTAAAATTCTTGAGGAAAATCTTAAGGAAAAACCCCACTGAAAATCTGTGGAATGACTTGAAGACTGCAGTCCACAAACAGTCACCATTAAAAAATAACTTGAGCAGTTCTGCAAAGAAGAGCGGGCAAATATTGCAAAGTCTAGATGTGCAGAGTTAGTAGAGACATATCCCAACAGACTAAAGGCTGTAATTAAAGCAAAAGGTGGTTTGACAAAATACTGTCACAAGCGGGTGATCCTTTTTCCAACTCAGTGATTCTGTTTTATTTTTTTCTTCTGACATGTTGGTGTTATATATTTCACTTGGATGTAATAAGTTGTACTGAGTAAATACAGCTGGATAAAACAAAAACTGTGTCCGTCTTCATTTCAGGCTTCAAAGCAACAAAATGTGATCATATGTGTGTGTGTATATATATATATATATATATATATATATATAATTGGGTTTGAGTTGTAAAAGATAATTTTTCAATTCTGGAAACCCAATAATAGCCCCTAAATTAAATTTTCATTGCTCAAAGGTTGCACTTTCATAGATAAGGACATTTAGTGGAATTGTCATTTACGTATCAAATATCTTTGTCCCAGATGTTTCTCCTACTCTAAAACTGACTGCAGACTTTGCTATCTTGATAAGTATGAGCACAACAATTTGAGACATTGTTGAGATCTCCAACAGTCATTGCCCTCCATTTAAGAGAAACAATTTTTTTTCTTCAGTATTCTTAAAAGTTAATTAGGTTTTGCTAAGGGAATTACAGATCATTTATCATAGTAATTAATATAAGTGTTGGCAAAACCTTGCTCTACAATCATTTCCCAAACCAATTACTTCAAAATCACACAGAAGCATTGATGGGATGCCCTCATTGTGTCAGATACTGATGCCCCCACTGTCACCATGCAGCTTCATTTGCATTTAAATGTGGTTTCAGGATATTGATTTAAGGACAAAGAAACTAAGAGGAAATTGTGGGCAAATGCACATTAAAACAAGTCAATATCCAACAGTAATGCTTAATATTTAGTATTCTTGTTACTGTGACAAGATCCCATTGATGACATTGCCCAGTTCTAGTTGGGATCAGCCTTCAACGAGATCCACACTATCCACAAGGTCTTTGGTGGCTATTTGTTGGGTTCTATCACAGCCTACTGAAACCTATCTAAGGTACTGGGACGTTCAAAAAATTGAGATCCATCTAACTACAAACACCTTACCAGCAAAAAACAAGGGGGATTTACTGCGGATCTCCTCCATTTTCTGCGCGAACAGAGCATTCATCTCACGCTGCAGTGTCCCTGCGGCCCGCTTTCGGTTCTCCATTCCCCGCGTCGGGAATATGGTGGGTAGATCAAGACTGGCCAGACTGTCACAGCTGCTAGAGTCACTGTCAGATAATCTTTTATTGTCATTCACAGATCTAGTCTCGTTGCAGTTGCTGCCATAGTTGGGTGGGGCAGGGCATTGCCAGCATAGGCTAGTTTTGCTGTCTGGAAATGAAGGAGGTGGTGTGGATGGGGACCGAAAGAGTCGGCGTGGAACACTACATGAGCGATCATTTCTGACACTGGGGTCCTCAGTGGGGTTAAGGGGTTGTGCAGCCAGTGTTTGTCGGACCTTTGCCCTTGATCTAGGTAAGGATACAGGCTTGGGTTGAGCCTGAGGATCTGGTTTGGGCTTTGAGTCCGTTTGGGCCAAGACTTGTGGTTTGAGAATGGGCTCTGGCTGAACTTGTCTGGAAAGTGTTGGAGACCGAGACACCCTTTCACGTCTGAGGGGAGCAGGTGTGTGCTGGGTAACCTTCCTCTCCAAGTCTGGACTCTCCTTGGAGCCAATTACACACTTTATGCAATTGGAAGTCATCCCAACCCGCCCAGAGCTTTTGATTGCAACACGGGCAAATACACCCGGCTTCTCATCCAGTGGATCCTGGAGTCGTAGCTTGTTGGCTCGCTTCAGTGGTTCGCTCATTGCACCCTTGTTTCGGTAAGGTGTAGCACGGGGCTCTGGAGAAAAGAAAGTACTCTTACCTTTACTGTCGTCAGGGTGAAGCTGCCCGTTGGTGCCTTGACCCCATGATTTTGCAGATGCAGTATCTCCGTTGTGGTGGACAGGTGGCCCCTCTTCCAATCCCTGCTCCTCACTGGCGCCCTCCGAGCTGCAATCTTTTGTGCCAATGGAGATCTCGGGGAAGCCCCTCTTGACTTTGGGTTGGCCCTTGGTGGGAGCGCTGGCTGTGCGGCGCAGGAGGTGAGCACCGAAGGTGCTCTTACGGTTGAGCAGAGCAGCAGCATGGCTGTCGAGAGATGCCTGCTTTGGGTTTCTGTGAAAGAGTCCTTTTATACCACTGACTGCTCGAACCTGCAATGGGACATCGGAAAAATCGGAGAACAATATGAATCTAAGATATGACAAATGGAAGCATCTAAACATGATGTAGTGTAGAACCTTAACTAGGCTTAACAGGCTCTCAGAGATTCTTCAAACAAATGAAGCAAAAACTGCTGACCAAACCACTCTGATAACTTGTGCCCAGCTGGAAAAATTAACTGAAATCAACTTAAAGTGTCCATTTAAAACCAACCCAGGCTCACTGGAAATATGTACTTGTGGCGATGTTGTTGTGTTTTTAGTACATTGCTTCAGGTACGTATTGCGGCGGTTCAGAATTCAAATGTCCAGGGAGTGTCGCTAAAAGGTTAATGATCATGTTGGAAATCCCATACATATGAAGTATATGTGACGCTAACGTTCAAAACTATCAGTTTTCAAATCTCGCAGCATGTTCACATTGTTTTGAAGTCATAATATAATATTTTGCAAGGAATTGTGCGAAAATAAGCTTTCTTAATCAAATCTCTGGCCCTGTAAATCATACTTTGTGTGGAAAGGAATAAAAGTTGTTGGAGTTTTACTGCCTCTAGTGTTCATTTCAACTAGAAACTGTAGCAATTCGTACATATAGGTACATTTTTTGAGTTTTGCAGAATTGCAGGTTGCTGCATATATTTCCAATGAGCCCGAGTAGTTTAAAAGCATCAAACCAGACTAGCCTGACAAGTGGAAACAAAAGCTGCATTTCCCAAAGTCATTATAAGCCATTGATTTCTACAATCTACAGAAGCTTATGATGCTTTTGGAAAATGCAGCCGAGTTTGGTGGCCAACTAATCACACTGGGCTGGTTTAAGCTTTTCAGCATAGTATACAGACAACAAAACATTTTTGTTTATACCAGCTACATGATCAACATCATTTGATGAGAGCCCTATTATGAATGATAATTTGCCACGTAGTATTTATCCACAATTTGTCAGTTAAGTTCTGTTCTAATCTAATGCAAAAACTTAAAAGTGTCACTATTAGAAAACAGTGACAATTTAAATAACAAATGTTATCAAAGATGAAGCAGAATGAACATGAACATGAAGATACAGACAATGTTGGGAATTTGTGGTGGTAGTGTTAAAAAATGTGAAATGTGAATAAATGTCAAGTGAAAGGTGACAGGACATTTATATCCAACCATCTCTGATTAAAAAAAAATGACACTGGGTGATCTGTTCTGATGCTAAAACAGTGTTGGGGGTGCCTAGCTTGTTTGAAATGGAGAAGGTATCAAAATCTTATATATAATGTTAATAATTAAGTAATAAATATATTTAAGGCATATTTACTCAAATAAATTAATAAATAAATGCATTCAAACTAGCCTTTTTCTGTTTCTCTGCACAACACCCAGTGTCATTTAGCTTGTTGGCTCGCTTCAGTGGTTCGCTCATTGCACCCTTGTTTCGGTAAGGTGTAGCACGGGGCTCTGGAGAAAAGAAAGTACTCTTACCTTTACTGTCGTCAGGGTGAAGCTGCCCGTTGGTGCCTTGACCCCATGATTTTGCAGATGCAGTATCTCCGTTGTGGTGGACAGGTGGCCCCTCTTCCAATCCCTGCTCCTCACTGGCGCCCTCCGAGCTGCAATCTTTTGTGTCAATGGCGATCTCGGGGAAGCCCCTCTTGACTTTGGGTTGGCCCTTGGTAGGGGCGCTGGCTGTGCGGCGCAGGAGGTGAGCACCGAAGGTGCTCTTACGGTTGAGCAGAGCAGCAGCATGGCTGTCGAGAGATGCCTGCTTTGGGTTTCTGTGAAAGAGTCCTTTTATACCACTGACTGCTCGAACCTGCAATGGGACATCGGAAAAATCGGAGAACAATATGAATCTAAGATATGACAAATGGAAGCATCTAAACATGATGTAGTGTAGAACCTTAACTAGGCTTAACAGGCTCTCAGAGATTCTTCAAACAAATGAAGCAAAAACTGCTGACCAAACCACTCTGATAACTTGTGCCCAGCTGGAAAAATTAACTGAAATCAACTTAAAGTGTCCATTTAAAACCAACCCAGGCTCACTGGAAATATGTACTTGTGGCGATGTTGTTGTGTTTTTAGTACATTGCTTCAGGTACGTATTGCGGCGGTTCAGAATTCAAATGTCCAGGGAGTGTCGCTAAAAGGTTAATGATCATGTTGGAAATCCCATACATATGAAGTATATGTGACGCTAACGTTCAAAACTATCAGTTTTCAAATCTCGCAGCATGTTCACATTGTTTTGAAGTCATAATATAATATTTTGCAAGGAATTGTGCGAAAATAAGCTTTCTTAATCAAATCTCTGGCCCTGTAAATCATACTTTGTGTGGAAAGGAATAAAAGTTGTTGGAGTTTTACTGCCTCTAGTGTTCATTTCAACTAGAAACTGTAGCAATTCGTACATATAGGTACATTTTTTGAGTTTTGCAGAATTGCAGGTTGCTGCATATATTTCCAATGAGCCCGAGTAGTTTAAAAGCATCAAACCAGACTAGCCTGACAAGTGGAAACAAAAGCTGCATTTCCCAAAGTCATTATAAGCCATTGATTTCTACAATCTACAGAAGCTTATGATGCTTTTGGAAAATGCAGCCGAGTTTGGTGGCCAACTAATCACACTGGGCTGGTTTAAGCTTTTCAGCATAGTATACAGACAACAAAACATTTTTGTTTATACCAGCTACATGATCAACATCATTTGATGAGAGCCCTATTATGAATGATAATTTGCCACGTAGTATTTATCCACAATTTGTCAGTTAAGTTCTGTTCTAATCTAATGCAAAAACTTAAAAGTGTCACTATTAGAAAACAGTGACAATTTAAATAACAAATGTTATCAAAGATGAAGCAGAATGAACATGAACATGAAGATACAGACAATGTTGGGAATTTGTGGTGGTAGTGTTAAAAAATGTGAAATGTGAATAAATGTCAAGTGAAAGGTGACAGGACATTTATATCCAACCATCTCTGATTAAAAAAAAATGACACTGGGTGATCTGTTCTGATGCTAAAACAGTGTTGGGGGTGCCTAGCTTGTTTGAAATGGAGAAGGTATCAAAATCTTATATATAATGTTAATAATTAAGTAATAAATATATTTAAGGCATATTTACTCAAATAAATTAATAAATAAATGCATTCAAACTAGCCTTTTTCTGTTTCTCTGCACAACACCCAGTGTCATTTCATGAACTATGTTCAAGTAGATCCATGTGATCTTCAAAGTGCTGTCAGCCATCTGATCTCCTCACTAATTATGCATAAATTAAGTTCATACATTTGCATGTAATTCTATTGCATTTATGATCATCTACACAATTACAGCAACCAGCTCTCAAGAACATAAGATATTTCTTTGGCTCAAAAAATATTAAAAAGTACCTGCTAAACTCCGGCTCTCATAGCAGACCCTCATAATCATGGATAGGAATAGAAAGGATGTAACACACTTCACAAAATAAGATCAACGTATCTCTCTCATGGACTCTACAGCTTGAGTGCAGTGTTACTGCGCAGAAGGCAGTCAAAACCCTATCATAGCCTTAAATGCCCTGAGTTAAGTGAAATAGGAGTGAACGCTGTCGCCTGCTGTAGGGACATTGACACTGGATCTGCTTTAGGGGTCAATGAGAATGCAGCCATGGAAGGAAGTCACAATTATGTCACAACTCATTTTGTATGAGTTGGCATGGTGAAGGCTAACAAATGAATCAGGGCTTAGGCCACAGTCACTGTGGGGGGAGGGCGGGGTTCATAAGGAACATGCAGGGTGCTGATTAGGTCTCACTACACCTGAGTTTTGAACGAGGATCCTAACAATTTCCTGCCTCTATAGGCAGCTTTTGGACTAAGATGGGTGCACTGAAATCACAAACATAAGAGAAAGAGAAGTAAGAAAAAAGAGAAAGAGGGAGAAGGGGAAAAACAGACAAACTACACAAATAACATTTGTTGTTGACGCTAAATGTTTAGGGCACAAATTATGAACAAAAGCATGATATAATTAAGCAGTGAGCATGTTTACAACATCATCTGGCACTTTGTACGAACAGGGTACAAACTGTCCTACTTTTTTTCATAGCATTAGTGGAACAAATTAAAAAAAATTTTTTATTAGATATTTTTGATAAAATAAAATAACCATAGCTAGGTAGATACAAGTCTGTATGTATGTATGTATATATGTATATATATATATATATAATTATTTAGTCCCAAATTAGCCAGCTCCTACTGACTGATATCAGAACTTAGTGTAAATCTGCAATCATGTTACCCATGCAAAATATTACATTTAATTTTTTAATTTTATAAATTTTATGTTTTTTTATGTAATGTTTATGCTGTTATTTAATATTCATTGCTAAAACAGAATAGAATCACATAAATCAGGATTTTATTCAGACCTGTTGCAAACCACATATGAAATGAATTTAAAATAAAACAGTTCATATAATTTATTATAACTATAAAATATAATTTAACTAATTTATTTTGACGTCCTGATGTTGATGATCAACAAGTGAAGCATTTTACTGTTCATTTGTTGAAAAAGAAAAAGAAAATGACTGGTTTCAGGTCCTATTTTGTACTATATTTGTGGAAATTGCTACATACGAGTATAAATAACTGAAAAAAAAAAAACTTTGATAAAATTAAGGCTTTAAATTAGTAGGTAAGAAATAGAAGGGAGGATATCTTTAACGTATCAACAATTTCTTTGATGAAGTGTACAATCCCATTTAGCTGTGCTAAGAGCCTTCTGTGACAGTCTACAACAAATTATATTTAAACAGCATATTTTTTACTGTACAATATTAGGAATTTTGAGAACACTGTCATTTTCAGATTAACAATGCAAGATACAGCTCTCTGCGCACAATAGCACCAACATTTTTCTTTCTGCGAACCACACGAAGTGCTCACCTTACTGGTGATGTCATTCACTGCAACATGAACAAAGATGGAAGCTTCCTCCATGCCTTCCAAATACACATGCCGGTAGCCTTACAATCAAATATACGCATATTGATTAAGGATGCACTCAACATTTGAAAAACCATATATTCCAAATGCCTGATATATCACACAATACTTTTTCTAATATAAAAAGAAGTGTAGTATCTAGATGAAAGTTGGTACCAGGAATCATGCTGTTAAAGGCAATGGTCCTCTGGCCAATAAAATCTTGGCCAATTGGGTCATGATCCCAAACCAGGAAGCGTATAAGAGCAATCTCTGGCATGTGAAGAGTGAAGACGAGCGTTTCCTCCCACATAGGATTGAATCCTGAAAGAGAAAGATAGAGGAGGGGGAATATAAAATAGGATAAATTTATGCAGAAATAATGGAAAGGAAGAAAGGATCGGAGGTATCAGAATATTCATATTCACCTGCCATTTTCACTCCAACAAAATTACCTGCTTGACCTTGACAAACCAGACAAAATAGGCCACTTAACTGAAATAGATTGCATCAGAGAGACTGAATAACTTAAACCTGCCAGAGTACCTTTACACCCAAATGCTATTCTCTTGGACTTGTCCATTGTATTTGACAGCAGCTCTAGAGTCCTTCTTGGACAAAAAAGTTCTAACATGTAAGCTGACAAAGATCAGTTTCAATATCCTGTACCCTATAGCTTCTGTGGTCCCACAGGGTTCTATCCTTGGGCCAATGTTGTTCCCTTTTCATCTGGTGTCACTATGAAATCAACCCATACAAGAATGAGCGGTTCCTCACAAATCCTCTCCAAAATTATCGCCATTACAGCCACTTCATGTTTCAAAACATACAGAAAATGAGCCCATTTCCAAAACCTCTATTTCACCTAGTCACTCTCTCAGGGTTATCTCTTTACAAGGTTGCATCTACACATTCCTCGATAGTCTGCATTTGACAGTCTTCAAAAAATGTTACTACCCTACATGTGTCAAGTTTCATTATGACCACCCCTACTGACTAAATCTAGCCTCCACTATTCAAATAACATTTGATGACACTTCAAATCTCAGTGTGACTTTCCTTTTTTATCTTTAGTTACCTCAATGCCACACTACATGCACATGTGAGTCGCTTTAGTAAGAAAAAGCCTACAAAGAAAATAAATGCAAATGTAATTCAAGTTCATGAATTATTGAATTGTTTAGTGGCACAGATGCAATATGAGGTTAGATCTAGAGCAAGTATCATGCATAAATTTACTGCACCTCTTCCAAACAAACACACACTTGTGAACACTCCAAAGAATGGTCTCACAGTTTAATGATACTTTAATGACAAATCCCCCATCAATTACAGGTTAAATGGCAAGCTGTGTTGTTGTTTGTGTGCGTAATATAAAATCTGTCATGGGACATTGCTCTCTCACCATTGTCATCAACCACCCTGGTTTGCTCTTTGCAGCAATCCACTGGTAGACCGATAATTTCCACTTCCACAAATGGGTCAATTATCTAAAGTAAAAAAAAAAAGAAAAAAACAGTTAAAAGAGCTTTAAAACTATACAAAAACAAACTATGGAACTGTGGTTACAATACCTTTTTAAACATTTCGAGATAAAATTCCTAAAAGAAATGTAATTCTGTGTCCTTAAGTAGTGATTTGTATACTGTTATTACTTTGGCTTTATGATGATTTACTATGGTCCAATGATTGTATAATTTTCAGTAACTGATTTCATGCTTTATTATCAGATTGTGAGAAGGTCTGATTACATACAGGGTGTTTAAAAACAAACTGCATTTACTTTCTTAAAGGTGGAGTAAGCGATTTTTCAAAAACGCTTTAGAAAACTGATTCGGGCCGACTAGCAAAAAATAGGGGCGAGACCCTTTTGGGGTAGGGGCGTGTTTGTTTTGGTGATTTCAAATGTCAGCATTGGCTACCAGAAATCTCTTACCCCACCTTTAAATGTTACAAGTCTTATTGTGCATGAATCATCATTGCACATTATTCTAATGAAAATAATCTTTTATCAGAACTTTTTTTAATATCAATTTAAATTAGTCCTATCAGTATCAGTCATAATGGGAAAACTTGGTAACACAATTTTAAGGTTCAATTCTCACTATTAACAAACCATTAATTACGACTTTTGTCTCAATAAACTCCTAATTTGCTGCTTATTAATAGTTAGTAAGGTAGTTGTTATGTATTGGGTAGGATTAGGAATGTAGAATACGGTCATGCAGAATATGTGCTTTACAAGTACTAATAAACATCCAATATGTTAATAATAGGCATGCTAATAAGCAACTAGTTAATAGTGAGAACTGGTCCCTATACTTAAGTTACCGTTTTTTCTTTTGAAAACTTCTTTTGAGATATATATAATGTAGCATAATGTAAAACCCTGATTTGTTTTGCGATAATGTACATTACACAGAAATGAATGTGTGTGAATGTGAAATATAGAATTTAGTTTATATTAATTTATTATGCAAGAACATCCCAGCTAAAATAATATATAGTCTAAGGCTATTAACAAACCATTAACGACGACTTTTGCCTGAATAAACTCCTAATTTGCTGCTTATTAATAGTTAGTAAGGTAGTTGTTATGTATTGGGTAGGATTAGGAATGTAGAATACGGTCATGCAGAATATGTGCTTTACAAGTACTAATAAACATCCAATATGTTAATAATAGGCATGCTAATAAGCAACTAGTTAATAGTGAGAATTGGCCCCTATACTAAAGTGTTACTGAAAACTTTAAGGAATCTGATGCATGTTTTATGTTTCACTACTGTAGTGTGAGCTTAAGAAACCTGACAATCAAAATAAGCTTTAGAACTAAAATGAAAAGCAGCGTGATTCAGAATAATTCTGGAGTTATGATATGTCGCTTGCTTGCAACGTATATGGGATTTAAATCGAGGTGGAAATCAATCGATCTGATCCACAGGCTCAGTGAAATCAGGGTAAACCCGCAGTGAGTGACAGCTTTAGTGATTATAATGGGATTGGAAATGTTCTACTATAATCATGACACTCATTTTCTATGTTCTATGTTTTGATTTACCTCTCCTCGGTCACCCAGCATGGAGTCTTTAGGCTTGGGTAATTGCTGGCCACTGATGATCTTAAGAACCAATTGTTTTTTCAACCGACCTGGTAAAGGATCCTCGGCCACTGGATTAAAGGAACCTGCAAGAACAAAGAATTCTGTACTTACAATTCCATAATGATATCATAACTTCATAACATCAACTCTTTTCCTAGTTTGGATTGCTAATTCTTAGATTTACAAACTCTGACTTTGATTTCGACTTGATCTATTAAATGCTCCCTAAATTCATTGTTGTCCACTGTATTTTGTTTTCTTTGATAAATTACATTGTTTTGTACTGGAGTCTTCTATTAATGCATGCAATTTGTTGATATTATCATTGAAAAAAAAAAAAAAAAAAAAAAACAAGCAAACTAGTAATGTAGAAACTCACCTTCACACATACAGGCAGGTTTCAGGATGTAACCACAGTTGCCGTTGCAATAAAATTTGGCTCTGTTGAGCTGCAGCACTCTGCCCTCTGTCTGGTAGTTCAAAGCCACTGCATAAAAAAGCCATCAAAATTCATTGACTATTATAGGATTCATTTTTACAAGAATATGTCTGATGTTAGGAGCCATTTAAGCAACTGAAATCATAACAAAAATGTAACCTTTTCATTATTAGAAAAAGTCTTATAAATCCAGTAGTGTCTTCCAAGAACTGAACCATTTTCATATTTATTAAAACACCACAGTGTAGCAGTGAGCAGCAGGTTCCCAGTATGTTTCAGACATACTGTTTATTCTTGGTTTCTCCATTAAACAGAACTATTTGTTTGTGGGTGGACTGGCATACCCAGATGGCAGCCGGCGCTCCAGAAGGGCTGTGGGTTGAAGTTGCTGGAGTCCACGCGGTACGGGGAGGGGTAGATACGCGAGAGCTGGTGCTGGTTGAATCGCATGAACTGCACCGGCTTCTGCTGCATTAACTGATGGGCTTTGGTCTCGCTCATCGATGACACCTGCCAACCGCTGCTGCCCACTGCAACACAGCCCAACACACAAGCATTAGATGTGACAACATACACTGACATATACTGACCGGACCGCGATCATTCAAACTGATCAGAACTGATCAGCTGGAACCACATAGAGAAAGAGTGCCATTTAAAAATATGAAGGAGCAGTTTATTCATTTGAAAAATGTAAACTGTAAATAAATAATCGCTTTACAAATAAAAACAATACAGACATATATATATATATATATATATGTGACCCTGGAGCACAAAACCTTAAGTCGCTGGGGTATATTTGTAGCAATAGCCAAAAAAAAAAAACATTGTATGGGTCAAAATTACTGATTTTTCTTTTATGCCAAAAATCATTAATATATTAAGTAAAGATCATGTTCCATGAAGATATTATGTAAATTTCCTACTGTAAATATATTAAAACTTAATTTTTGATTAGTAATATGCATTGCTAAGAACTTCATCTGGACAACTTTAAAGGCGATTTTTTCAATATTTAGATTTTTTTGCACCCTCAGATTCCAGATTTTTAAATAGTTGTATCTCAGCCAAATATTGTCCCATCCTAACAAACCATACATCAATGGAAATCTTATTTATTCAGCTTTCAGTTGATGTATAAATCTCAATTTCAAAAATTGACCCTTATGACTGGTTTTGTGGTCCAAGGTCACATATATATAACTATTACTGTAGTACATTTGATGTATTATAAAATTATAAATTCTATGTTATTAGACTTGCTTAGATACTTGCTGTTTCTTTGAAAACTGTGTCCAAGTAAATCCTACTCCAAATGTTTTTTTCAGTGTAACGTATATTTAAACTGAATTTTAATATACAACCATTAATAATAAAATAAATTAAACATTTCTAATTGATTCTGTGATTGTGTAAGTGGCCCTCCATGAAGCCGCACTCTGAGAGCCTAAATAAATACATTTTTCATCAACTTTGTAATTCTGAATGTCACAGGAAATTTGAGATTTTCACATATGTTTTCTGTTCTTCTCACCTTGTGCATCAAAGTCTGGTGTGCCCACAGATTTCGTGTATACCAGATCAGAAAGTGCTCTTGACAACTTCATTGTTTTTTTCTTTCTGTTAAAACAGATAACAGTTACAGACATCAAAAATGAAACATAAAATATATTAAAAAGTCCACACACCATGAGCGATTCTAACAGTACCTGCTGTGATGCACTGGTGCTTTAGACGCCCCGCTCGAGCTCTCCTGATCCGTGTCCGTGTCCTCAAAACTGGAGGACTTCCTCAGTTTACTTGTCTTTTTCTACAGTGAACAGATGGAGTTGAGGTGATGCAGTGTTAATTAAGTCAGCATGTCACATATAAGATACAGTCAGCTGGTCATTATAAACCCTGAATTTATTACACAGCTGAATGTAGTATTGCAGAGAGCCGTATACACATTTTATTATTTCTATTAATCATTCATTCAGTATGTATGCAGAAGACAGATGCATTTTTCAGTGTGTGCAGTATGTTGTTATGGAAGGAAACATTGTTTGGTTTAGTATGGGTGCATATGCACATTGATCTATATGTAAAACTACCTTGCGTTTGGAGAAGTTCCCCATGAAAGATCTAGCCAGACGTTTGTTGCCACCAATATTGCCCTCGTCTCCAGTGTCAGTGCTGTCTTCTGCTTTTCCCTGTATTAAAAAAAGATGCATTGCAGTGAAAATATGGACAGGAATATATACCCTAAATATACCAAATATAATACATTATCATGACAGTAAATGTAAAATAATCAATCATCAAATCTACATTTTTGAAATGGAACTGAAAATCAAATCTTAAAAAAAAAAAAAAATCTTAAAATTTGTATGTTTTTTTTTTTTTGTTGAGTATCATATTTGTTACATCAGGCTTTTATGGTTCAGACTTGAGCTCAGACTCGAGGAGTAAAAAAAACAACAACACTTACATTTTATTCAGAGGCCCAAACTGAGCAAAAATATGCAATTTGTTGCAGTTGATATTTATATGGCCGAACAGTACAGTGAAACTCTGATAGCTTGGAATGTAAATCGATGAGAGCTTTATAACAGTACAGCAGATAAAATACATATAAATATCAGTTGTCACTCTATATCTGCCAATAATATGTCTTAGAAAGATGATATTTAAATGCTAGTTTTGTGATCAAAGCTCTGTCGATTGATTGAGAGATTGAGATGAACAAATAAACATTCCTCAAAATCCTGTTGCATCATATTTTCACATTTTAACATGATTTGTCAGCAAAGTTTTTGCCTATCAAATATAACTCACAACAATCACTAGGTGGCAGTAGCAACCAATTCATTCAAAATATGCAGTAAATGGGACTTATCTACAACATTTTTAGTTTTAAGGGTACATGATACAGACTGTTTAACTCTAGGTGTCAAGGAGAGGGTGGACATCAAGGGAAAAATGCTATAAATGTATTGCATATGGGCCTTATGCATGTTCGCCGGTATCTCTGTGGGCTGTCAAGGACGGTGGTGTGGCGCCTGCTGCGAAAAAACCTCTGTGTGCAATCCTGTGTCTTATCTGAATCAGCCTCGAGTCAGTCCTTAAATAAGCACACTACACACATCTGTACAAGAGCAAAACTAACCTAATTAGAGCACTTGCTGCACAGTTTAAATGAGTGAAAGGTAAGAGAATAATACAGTAAGACTGTAGTAAATACGGTATTTTTGTATGATTATCATGGTAATTACTGTGAAAATTTGTTTTAAAAATCATCAACTAATAAGTGTATAAAATAGTGATTAATTCAACAGTAAACAAACTATATTGATCTAAATGCATTAACATAGAACAAAACTAGAATGCAATGCAAGCAAAAGTGAATGAGGTAAATTTGTCAGTAAATGTGATAACAGTTCCTCTCCTGGAAAGGAAGGAGTGACATGTATGTATAGTTGCTGTGGGTGAAGTACAGCATATTAACCTTCAGCAGTGATTTGTCATGTTTTCCCGCCGGCGGCAGGGCTGCGATGGTAAAACTGTCCGGATCTTCCCGGTCACGAATCTTTGACTCCTTCATGAGGTTATCTAATTTTTTCTTGGCAACATTTTCCGCCTGCTTCCTGTTCATAGATGTCTGGAAAGGGAGACAGAGAGAGAAGTGTATTCGAATGGACCTCACGGGTGAACTGACGGTCTTAAAATTAGCATTGTAATAACATCTGCAGAGAACAAGAAGGTCAAAACCATTCATCAAAATATCTAGGTAAGTTCAACTCAAGTCCTTGACCTAATTTTACACGCAGAGAAAAAATCATGACAAATATTCACTTGCCAAAATGCCATCTTTTATTTTTACATTAAGGCACTTAAGAGAGAGGAGCTTTCATCCAAAATGCATGAGTCTTTGAGATTTCACTAAGCGCCTTGTGCATAGAGTACGAATGAAATCTCCTGCTAAAAGAACATGACAGATGTGGAAGGACTTGAAGCATTGAAGATTATAGGGTGAATCTCATTAAACTTTCAAGAACATATCCAGGTGATATTTCAGCAGTAAATAAAAAAATATAGTCCCACTTTATATTAAGTGGCCTTAACTACTATGTACTTACATCAAAAAATAAGTACAATGTACTTATTGTGTTCATATTGTAATGCAAAACACTTTTGCTGCTTTTGAGGTGGGAAGGGATGAGTTAAAGTGTAAGGGATGGGTTAACAGTGTAATTATAAATGTAATTACAGAAATTAATTACAGATGTAATTACATGCAGGTTTTTTTTAAAATATAAGTACAATGTAAAAACATGTATGTACACAATAAGTGCATTGTACCAAATTATTAATTTAAATGCAAGTACATAGTTTTTAAGGCCACTTAATATAAAGTGGGTCAAAAAATATTAATAATTAAACAACAACAACAAAATATATTTTGCATTAAGAAAATTAAGACTAATTGTAAGACTGTTAAGGTATTTGTATTGCAACATTATTTTCATGACAATATTAAATCTCTCCTCCAACAACTGTTGAGCTGTTCAGAATACTAACATACTATTCTTACTTTTTCTTCCTAATATATTATATTCTGTATGATGAATTATCTACTGTTTTTGCAGAAATGTGCAGTATACAACAGAGTTGACTGCATGTAATAATAGTGTATCCCATAATGTAATGTACTCGATTTTCGATCTTCTCTTTCCAATGTTGAATGGACATTAGCTACTTTTTTTCAATTTAAATTAAAAAAATAATAAAAAATGCGCCACACCATCTAGCAATACTTACATCTCCATTCATCAGCTTACAGTCGTCCTCCATCTCATCAGCACTGTCTTCATCAGACACGTCCCCCTCCTCTGCATCCTCGTCTATATTTGGGGGCAGTTTTTTACCCTATGAACAAACATACAGAAAACATGTCAATACAAGATTTGTGAAATGTGTTTTCACTTATATCTAACACTAGTTAACTCGGCAGTAAACTATAATATGATAACACAAACAAAAATAGTCTGTGTCCAAACAGGAAAAGAACTGGATTCCAGTTTAAAAAGCCATTCATACTGAAAGTTATTTGAAGAGTTGGTGTCTTAAGGTGACAAATACTTACTAACATCTACGCACAAATGCTTGAACGCAAATATTTTCAGCAACCAATTCTCATCACATTGTTTTCTCAGTTCTTCAACAAGGGGAGCTATAGCAGCCTTTAGTGTAAATCGTCTTATTCTATAGTCAGTTTCTATAGTCAGAAAATCTTGCTGAGCAAGTTAGTTTTTCTAAACATATTTATAGCAGCTGCCTGAATAAGAGCATGTCTGGTCTACTGGCATAGACATTTGAAGGAAACACTATCGTCCCCTTGAGTACTGAGCTTTCTCACTGCAAAAATGCTCAAAGCATTTGTGTCTTCATTGGCATACTTGAATAGGGAATGTTTTTGGCCCAAGGGTCTTCTAGCAGTAACAGCATCTTACAAGACAATTACAACCCAGGGGACCCATCGCCACTTAAGCTGCTTTATCAGTAAATGCTCTGATTGTCTGGCACAGAACATCGCTCTCATGTACTGACTACAGAAATGCAGTGCTGACACTGACAGGGACTTTAACAGAAAGAGGCCAGCGGTAGATAGATGCAGCCAGATACAGAAATGGGTTAATCAATAGTGGTTCATCAGTCAAACAATGTCTGACCCCGTTTTCTGCTATTATTGGCTTTTTTATATTTCATTAACATACACTGTAAAATTACAATTAATTGTATGAGTTTTTGATTTTTTTCATCAGTGATATGAAGTATTTGAAAAAGTGTACAGAACCTATCACTGCAGGTTGTAACTTTTGCATTACTTAAAATGCGCATTATGTCAAATTTAAGACAGAAATGAAACTTAAGTTTTCAAATTTAGTGAGTTGAATTATTTTCATGCGTGCCTACTGTGCTGGAGCGAGGAGACGCGGAGATGTAGGAGAATCCAATAATCACAGAACTTTATTAAACAGAACACCAGGAAAGCACATGTAGCACTGGGGTGAACAAAACCGGACGGGAAACGAGGGGCAGAACACACTTTAAATACACAGGAAACTAATTGGACACACCTGGGATCAATGGAACTGAACGTGGAACACCTGGAACAAATGATAACTATAAGGACAGGAACGGGAAGGACCAAATAAGGGCATAAACATTGGAGCACTATAACCCCCCCCCCCCAAAAAAAATACTTGGGAGAGAATTACGGGCATCTCGGATGGAACCGGGTCACAAGGGTGCTCTGGAGGAGCGGGCACTGGAGGGCACTTTCGAGGAGCGGGCTCTGGAGGATGCTTTCGAGGAGCGGGCTCTGGAGGGCGCTCTGGAGGTGCGGGTATAGGAGCGAGCTCTGGACTGGATTCCGGGACTGGAGCCCTCACTGGGCTAAACTCGGGGACAGGAGCACTCACTGAGCTAAACTCGGGGACAGGAACCCACACTGGAGTGAGCTCTGGGGCTGGAGCCGACACTGGAGCGAGCTGTGGAGAACACTGGGGCGCGCTCTCGGGTGAGGAAGAGAGCCCTGAGCCATTCATTTCTCCTCATCCTCCTCTTCTGATTACGGGTGAACTGGGCGGCCGGCGGGCTTGACAATGGCGCGGCAGGCGGGCCTGACTCAGGAACGGCCGGCGGGCTTGAGTGAACGGCGACTTCCATGCCGCGGGGAGAAACAAATGGGAAAACAAAAACACTTTAAAAAACGGAAAAGAAACACGGGGAGAAGAGGCGCCGCTCACTTTTTGCGGGTCCGGTATTCTGTCATGCGTGCCTACTGTGCTGGAGCGAGGAGACGCGGATACATAGGAGAATCGAATAATCACAGAACTTTATTAAACAGAACACCAGGAAAGCACACGTAGCACTGGGGTGAGACGAACAATACCGGATGGGAAACGAGGGGCAGAACACACTTTAAATACACAGGAAACTAATCGGACACACCTGGGATCAATGGAACTGAACGGGGAACACCTGGAACAAATGATAACTATAAGGACAGGAACGGGAAGGACCAAATAAGGGCATAAACATAACATGGAGCACATGGGGGAAGAAAACACACACCGACATGGAACAGCGTCTGACAATTATAGTCTTGTTCAATGGTAACAAAGCAGCGGTCCAGTCAAATTCAGCGATTGAGCTGCGATGCGAGTGTATTTCCAAACACGCGGTCTGTCCACGTGCTCCATGATCCACAGCCTGTGCCGAGCAATTTATCAATACCACCGGCTGGCCCAGTTTGCAGTTCAGGATTCACTCTCTGGTGGGAATGCCAGTCTGTCTTCAATTATAGCGCCAACTCGCTTGCCGAGCTGCTCCATCTACGGCCCGATTTTCAACCCTCACACTTTATTAAAAGCACAGGAGAGGGCTGCACTTCAGCAAATAGATTTTATATCATTAAGACTCTTCTGTTTTGCTGCTCTAAAAAGGTTTTCTGATAGAAAAAGACCAACAACTGTGCAAAAAAAGGACAAAACTCAAAATGTGATGTTACTAAAACTTCAAATAATTATGCATAGAATATGATATTAGTAACAAAATATTTTGAAACGTTAATCACATGATATCCTAATTAATCTTGTGAATTGATTTCACTCACCCTTTGGAAAAAAGTTACAAATTACACAAAAACTGAGCATACTTTTCAGAGAAAAACAAGCAATACGCCAAGCACCAAAACAATAAACGAAAACTATAACAACCATAAAAGAAAGCAAAATACATAACAAATAAAATAACCTATAGAATTGAGAGCATATTACTACATTGTAACTATTTGAAAAAAAATAAAAATAATAATTTGCGTAAAATAAATGTAAAGCTTATTTTTACATAGTTTATTCTAGTACTTTTAATTTAAGTTTTTTAGTTAATTATACAGTATATGTTTATAATTACAACTTGACTTTGCTCATCTAGAGGTTGAAATCTTAATCTAAAATAATGCTTCAAATAATCTTTCATAAATCAATGCATGCACTGCAAGCAATTACATCATGCAAGCTGATTTACATCATGAAAACATCTGACCATCATCTGAAAATGACCATAGATTTGCTCCATAGTGTTGACATAAAAACGTTTAGATGCTTACCTTGATGAGTATTTTGCCTTTTAGGGCTTCAGGTGAAGGCAGAAGTCCAGACGGGTCGGCAGGGATGGAGGACGTGTCCAGTTTATCACCCAACACTTCAGTCAGATACTGAGCCATCTTCTTCATCAGAACCAAAACAGATGTTTTTAGCAGGTACCAGCTGTAAAGGCGCAGCTCTATTCTGGAAAAGGGGACGTGGAGCAGCAGCTCATTTGCATTTAAAGAGACAGGCCCGAAAAACAGCGTGTTTCTGCTTCCACTCAAAATAGGCATTTTCAAAATTATATAATAAATGATCTGTGGAGTATTTTCAGCTGAAACTTCATAGACACATTCTGGGGACACCAGAGACTTATATTACATATTGTAAAAAGGGGCATAATATGTCTCTTTTAAATTAAAATGCCATTAAATTGTGAGACAGAAGGCTTAAAACGGCAGCTTCCAATTAAAACGTGTTCAAAGTGGCTCATTCAGAAATCTTCAGAGCATATTAACATACAAAATAAAACAACTCATATTATATTTAGCTGTTCCTTGTCTGAGGTGGACAAAACAATATTTCTAATGGTTAAGCAATAATTATTTTCAGTGATTTCAGGTCATATTTCGTACTCTATTTGTGGAAAGCACAGATTGTTTTTGGTACAAAAAAACCATGATACATAATCCATAAGTGAAAACAAATAGCTCCGGATACTGACACATACTGCTGTAAATGTGCACTTTTACTGTCATTGCCATTTCTAAACCTAAACAAGCTAAAGTGGCAAGCCAAACAGACACATATCGCATCTGACATATGTGTGAGACATTGTCTAAAAATAGCTTTTTGTTTACTGCGAACCCCAAGAACCATTGACAGCGTATGGCTTTATTGGATTATCAGCTTTAGTAACAGCAACACCTGAAAGTCATAGTGATGGAGGAAACATGCTGTCAGTGTGAAATGCTCATGAACGTGTGACACGTTCACACACTCCCTGGACCTCAACAGCGCTGTCTTCAGGCTCAGTGAATGGGATTTTACAAAGACATTGTGACTGTGGGCTAGAAGTGACTGTCCTTCACTGCCAGCAGTCGGACACATAAACCTTCAGGATTGAAACTTGAAGGAATGCTCAGACAGACTGCAGAGTAATAATTGTCTTTGGAAGACTCCTCAAAGAAAAGAAAAAAAAACTTTGCACTAATATGATATATCATGATATTCAATGATATAGATCAATGTGAAAATGATACTTTGAAAGCATGGTGTTCAAAGCTAGATATAATGCAATATGGAAATCAATCAATCAATCAATCAATAAATAGCCAATAAAAATATAATTGTGTTTTAGCTTATGATTTCTCTTAAAATCATCTCCTTAATCTAATTTGTTCACCGATAGAGAAATTTATAAATTATTTAAATTGTATTACTAAAGTAGAAAAAAAGCCATCAACATGAACAACCATGCACAGCCCTGCATTTGTTAATCATAATAATTATAATAATAAAACACACACTAGATATTGTATTTTCTCAAAAATAAAATAAATAAATAAATAAAAATAAAAAATAAAATAAAATAATAATAATAGTTACATATATTGTTATGCACATTGGTTGTGTTACAGATTGATAGCCTCTTCTCATCTGAGACTCTTAGGTTGAAAAAACAAACAAACTCAGAAATCTGGCTTGTGACACTAATCAGCTGTTTATATCTCAGTCGATTAATATCTACTGTCTAATAACCTTCTGAATCAGTTAATATCCAATATAGTCTGTGTCTCTTACTGGTTTTTGATGAATGCATATTTGTTGATGGTCTCGATAACATCTTTAAAGAGGATTTTGGAAGTCAGGGTGTAGCCATGATGTACGATTGGTTCACCATCCTGTCCATCCCAGCAATCCACTAAAGGATGATATTAAAGAAAAAAAGTTGTTTTTTAAAAAAAATGCATAAAATCAATTTAAAGTTCATTTATATTATTTTTATAATATAAAATAATATAAATGATATATTTATAACAAATATAAAATATATATTTCTCCAAACAAAATACATTTTTCTAAACAAATCTAAAGCATGTCAAAATCATGCAAAGAACTTCAAAGATCTTTTGGATTGCAAAATGTGGAAATCCACACACACTGATTCACTTCCTTAGGAAGAAGCACCAAAAAAGCAGTAGAAAATCAGATCAGTCTCACCTTCCACACATCTGCAGCCGGCCTGCAGCACCCAGGCGTACATATCCACCCGAGACTGGGACATGAGCTGGTCGCCCATCAGGTAGGTGTTGTGGGAGGAAGCGATGAAGTAGTTACTGAGGGGATGCGTCATGTCCTGGTTCACCTCGTAATGCTCAGGGTTGAAGATGTCCCCAGCAGGACTGCGCATGTAATTCGTAAAACCTGTGAGGTACAGTTAGAGGCAATTGTGAAATCCTGACATAAATATTTTCCAGTCACTTCTCTGATATAACAGTGATGAAGCACAATAAAAAAAATAATGCCATGAAGTCTTGAAAACCAAAGCATCTACCAATATAAGACGCTGTCATCATTTTGTAATCTTTGTTTCCATTCATTTAACCTGTCAGTTTTGGCTTGATTTTCATCACTAGCAATTCAATTCAAAGTGGTTAATAAAAAAGCAATTAACTTAAAATTGCCATTGGGACTGCAAATAAACTTAAGTTAGTTTTTTTCTTTCTTTCTTCTTTTTTACAGTGTGGTTAAATCAATTTCAACAACAAATCCCATAACAGGAATTAGACCCTAAAAGGGACCCATAATAGGAATCCTTTACAATTAATGCACATTTTATAGTTCTATATTCTAGATATTTGCACAATTTATTATTCACGTCTATGTTTATTTCCTAAATAATTTCAGCAACATTTGTTTTATACTAAAAATAGACCTTCACCAGGGTAGCAACATATTTAATTTTTGACAGGAATGAAAACAAGACTGTGAGGTATAGAAGTACAGTGTTAAAAAATATCAGTCATTGTATTAAAGTCATTGTATTAAAAACACTCACGCAGAGTGCCAAGGTAATAAAACACAACATAGAGTGTTATAAATGTACATTAATGTTTGTAAAAAATGAAGATGTTCACAAAAATAAAGATGGAAATGCATCATCGCAGTCCATAAAAAGGGTCCATTGAATAGATTCCTACTGAAAGGACTGGCAAAATAAATAAAAAGTGCGTACCGTCAATACCCAGGACACACAGTGTCTGGTTATCAGGACAAGGCTCAAACTTGGACACAATTTCGACGCAGTGCTCCTTTGAGACATTTGTCATCTGAAACACAAACAAACAGTAAAGAAAGAAAAAAAACAGGTGAATGATCAAACACTTACAATGCATTCAAAACAGCTACTATACAGCCATCAAATTAAATCAAAGTTAATTTTTATTCATATTACTTGTGAAATAAGTGAAAATAACACCACGGGGAGCCATGCTCTCACAACTAGCCCATCTCCGCTCTGGAGTCTGATTGTGACGCCTAACAGCTGGTGTTTAAATGGACTGATTAGTCAATGAGATTCCCATCCACGCCAGTCAGTGTCAGATCTTTCCTCCAGCTAATGCAGCGGGGGACGGCGGGATCCTGCCAGCTGTGGATACCGGATCGCAGTAAACCGCGCAGTGCATCAACACTCTTGCTGATGATTAGCTGCTGGTTTAACTTAAATCTTAAATCGGTCTACGGTATTCTAAGCTCTGTTTTTCTCAGTCCTTTAAAGGGGTCATATGATGTTGCTAAAAAGAACATTATGTTGTGTATTTGGTGTAATGAAATGTAGACATGTGGGGGTGTATTAGAACGAGCCGTTTTAGGTAGGCGTGGTTGACTCTTAACTTTTATAAAGAATATCTCTTTGGATTTGAGACTTTAGTCTTTGCAACTTTACAGATCTTCTTTATGCACCAAGAGCTTGTAACACTCCAAAGAGAAAGGAAACATTGAAATTGTATCATATGACCCCTTTAAGAAACTAACGATGGCATTTGATGAGGGACACTTTTTTTCTGCTGGTAACTACTTGAGACAGAGAGTGAAATGTTATCATGAAGAAAGGTTCACTCTGAGTGGTACCATTTGCTTGAAATGCTAAATTTCTCATTTTATATAGTTCATGGTGGGCTTTTTGTGTTTTCAATTTCAATTTGACTGCATGCTGGTGCTTTATAATGCTGTACATGAATGCATTTAAACATTTAATGAGATTTTAATGACCACCTGAAACATCAGCTTTTGTCGACTGCTTACTTGAAACAGCACTTGAATCAAACATCATGTGGATTTTGTGTTCGCCTGTTTGAAGTAATGTGAAAATTTACCACTAGAGGCGATTTTGCAAATGAGGTTACATAGGTTAATGAACAGCAGAATAACATTCATACTTGTTAACATATCAGTTCACTTGAGACGACTGTAAGTTCATTGTGATTCCATTTTAAATCACAAATCAGTTTAGAGTCCGGAGGCATCTTTAAAAATATGTGCATATGATCATAATAAATGTCACATACAATAATTTCCTGAATAAAACATACAATAATTTCCTGAATGTTTTTATAAACAATTTATAAAAACGGAAGCAATGTTAATGTTGCATAGTTGATGCATAACATTTACACAAGCATTTTTATCACCTCTTAAAAATGAGCCGTAAAAAAGAGCTGTGGTGTTAATTTTTTTTCAATTGTAGTCTCTCAATGCAGACAAATATGGCGGAGCTCAGAATGAATATAAAGTATATGTGAAAAAATTACTCACACATAATGTGTGGTTGATGAGGTCAACTCTTTTCTCATTAACCAGTGTTAATTCTTCATATCACAATTTTATAATCATTTGACCACAGGTAGATGCACACCATTTCCTGAAGGTGCATATTAATTCCAAAAAGAGCATTATATGCCCCATAAAGATGAGAAACTAGACTCACACCTCAATATTTATGTGTAAACAAGGTCACTCATTTATGAAATTCATAACCACTGCAAGTGTATATTTCATTTTTCAGTGTAAATGACCTGTTAATGTCGTCTTAGTGTTTCAGGCTACTACTAAAAATTCAAATAAAGCTTAAGCCGCCCCACTTAGCAAAGCTTTATTGAATTCTGTGCTGTTCTTCAAAACCATGAAAGAGGAGATTTGAGAGGGTGTGTGTGAGGACAGTCTTTCCGAAATGTTGGTGAAATGGTTACATTAGCATAGAAAGGACGCGCTGTATTTTCATCAAGTCTATCAAATGATGTGCTTGAGTTAATAAGGAGGACATGAAAACAACACACACAACATATGCTTCGAGGTACCTGCTACTTTATTACCTTTTGTTCAGTCTCGAGGAAGCGTTTGAGGTCATCTGTGTCCAGGTGGTCTTTATGGTTGCTGTAGGTGAGCATCAGCAGGTACAGATCGCGCCGCGTTGACATCATCTTATAGAAAGAGCAGAACTCCTCAAATCCCAAAGTGCCCTGGTTGTCATCAGTGTCTGCCTCCTAAAGATCAGTGATGGAGAAAGACTGAGATTGAGATCAGTGAGATAGAAAACCTCCAAGAATGTTATTAGGTCCTTGAATTATCAATTAAGAATTTACAAAACATAACAAGGAAAATTAAGGATTGGGATATTACACTTTTCATTAATGGGGAGATGTGGTATTGTTTTATACGGCTGGTTGTATCCCTGAGGTAAGCGGGTCATAAAACATTGTGTCATTGAGGCACTGAGATATTTAAGGGCTTTTCTATCGTGGAACCCAAAACGAGAAGTTTAGCAGAATGTTCACGCTGCTCTTTTCCATACAATAAAAGCATAACGTGTCCAGGGGCTGCCAGTTACAAAAAACAGGTAAAATCACCAAAAATAAGCCATAAAAGTAGCTTATATGACTCGTGTGCAATATTCCACATCTTCTGAAATCATGAGGAGTTTGTGTGTGGAACAGTTTCACAGCTTTCCTTTCTCAGTCGCTTTCATGTATATTCATATATCAAGATTTTTGATGTTAATGATGCCAAATGGCTTTTGTGTGCTTTGGAACTCTGGTGAAAGGGAAGATTTTCAGTGAATAACAACTGAAATTATGGTTTGGTTCTCACATCAAGCTATTCAGAAGATTCAGAATTTGGTACATAAGTTGATCCGCTTTTGTGAAGCTCTTTGTGAATCTCGGTGCCTTTTTGTCCTTTTTATAGTTTGACCGTGAGAATCCTAATTTACCTTCATTGTATGGAAAAGAGCAAGGTAACACTTTATTTTAAGGACCATTTCTCACTAATAACTAGTTGCTTATTAGCATGTATATTACTAGCATATTGGCTGTTTATTAGTACTTATATATCACATAATAATGCCTTATTCAGCATGACCATATTTTTGATCCCTTAATTCTACCCCATACCTAAACTACCTTACTTACTATTAATAAGCAGTAATTAGGAGTTTAAAAGTTGTAGTTAATTGTTAGTTAATAGTGAGGATTGGACCTTACAATAAAGTGTTACCAAAATTACCAATTCACATGAATTCACATTTTTTACTAAACAGTTTAGAGTTATCCTCCTCATTGTAACATGTGCTTTCTGTCTGCCATATTTGACCTAGTTTTTCCTGAGTTGTCTTATTTCGTCATTATGTTCACCTGTTGTCTGATTAATTAACTCATCAGTTCCTTTGTACTTAACCCCTTAGTTCTCCTTTTGTCTCTGTCTGTTTGTTTATATATGTTTGATATGTGTCTCTAAGTTTGTGATTAAATTCTATTTCCAGTTACTCTCCTTCATCGTGCGAGTGATTATATGACCAACACATAACACTCATATCTGACTTTGACTCTATTGTGTTTTTAGGCCTCAACCAGGACTTTGTTTTTGTAAAGAGATTTCATGCAGAAACTGTTTATCACTTTCAGTACATTCTAATACATTTTCTGCATATTCTTTTTTTTAATCCTTCCTTTCTGAAAAAAAAACGAACAGCTTGTAGTCCAAAGGGTTTATGAACTGTAACCATTTTAGGTCAAATTTAAATATTTAGGTGAACGTCTGTAAAACAGTAATGCACAGTTGTGGGTAGATTTGCTTCCTAATGCCTGACTTCAGTGACTGATCATTGGTTATGATGGAGGATAAACCAGCAGCAGCTCTTCAATCAACTGGAGAAATGGCTCATTCAACAGCAGCAGCCCACTGTCACAATTAAACCCCTGCTACGCGGAAAATCAAACCCCTAGAAAACAACAGCGCCTCCACATCTCCTACAGCTCTCAGCCCATAAGAGCCCAAAAGTGTTTTCTCAGCTCAGTGAATCCCAGGCTCAGATGCCGGCGCTGATCCGGAGAGCCGCTGAGTCAAACACACACATAAAGGCTTGCGGTGAGCCGAGGTGTGGAGGATGTAATAAACCCTGAGCTAAGTGCCTGAGAATTGGTGCTTTATGGAGAGAAGCGTGAAAACAGGTCACAAACACTGAAGCTGCTCAGGAGAGCCGCATTCACAATGCTCCCTCCGAGGAGCTGACATCACTTCCTGTGTGTATATCAGACTGAGGTATAGAAATTATGGTCTCTTTAAACAAATACATAGCAAAATCAAAAAGGGAACTTTTATTACAATAAATACTAAAAAAAGAAAAAAGAGTGCTGTTGGTGGATGTCAGGGTTTTGCTATGCGGTTGCTAATGTATTTTGAGTGGTTGCTAGGTTATTTACTGATTTGCCTGCCTATTTGGCCTTTTGCTTCGCAGCAGCTGAATGATGTGTTCGTTACAGCAAACGTTCAGAAGGCGGGACCCGCTTTGAAGCGGCAACATTAATTGGTTTAATTGCAGGTGAGTGACAATTCAACTATATCCAATGAACAAAGAGGCTAGTATTTTGCTGCATGTCTGGACTGGTGGACTGGCGTATAGGCGATGTTACCGTTATGGAGGCCCTTCCTCAAATCCCAAGGCCCTAGGCAATTACCTGATCTGCTTATAGGTAGCTCCGGCCCTGGCCGAGAATCACACAGGTTAATTGTGAGGTTAAGCCAGAGAAATCAGGGCCAAAGACTTCAGGTGAAAACACACTCACATCACACTCTGATGTTGGATAGCAGGGCCAGATTGCCCCCCTGTGGTTTACTGTGTCCATTTACAGCAGATGGGGTGGACGCTGATGAAGTGTGAAGCTTAGCGACCTACAAACAGCTGATGTGAGGTCCCAACCACATAATCACACACAGCAATCCAGACGGCCTGGAAAAATGGAGCACTGGAGCCTTACACACCATAAGAAGGCCATGGTGTGGCCCAGAAAAAATAAAATATAAAACAAAATAAAATAAATAATAAAAAGTAAAACTACACAAGAAAGAAATTACATTAAATGTCACTGTGTCAAACACTGTTTATTAAACTTTTCTGCAAAGATCTTCAATGCTGACCAATTACCTGGTCAAACAGGAGTATATTCATATTCAAGATATAATAATTGTAGAAGATATGGGACAACCGTCTCATGCATATGCATGCAAAAAATGGCAAGAGCTTTTTCAAAATGCCAAGATCTAATCTGATATTCAGATGTTAGGATGCATAGAACACTTCTATAATTTGTCCCTAGGCTGCTTGTAAGGAACTGCTTGCAAGGTACTTTCTGGATTTAGACTCGCTGGTTCATGCCATCAAATCACTGTAACTCTTGTAATAGTCAAGCTGTTCATTTGAGGCACTTAATAACAACTATATTACTAATTGTACAATAATAATATTGGAATTATTATTCCAATAGTCCTGGTTTTTGGAAAGATCTACCATTTTTGTTGTAATCGGGGTCAAACATTTTAGGATCAAACATTTCTGCCGTATTTGACAGGCTCTAACAATATAAAAAATAAATTGTGGTTGATCACTTTGCATGCCAGTCAGACTAATTGGGTGACTTCCAGTCAAAGTGGGCAGTTTTTGACCAGAATAAGCCAAAATGTGACCAGTCTTTTATTAAAAGTCTTACAAAAGCCACTAGATCTACTGATAGTTCAAGCATTTACATGGTAAAGACACTCACCAAACAGTGAGTTATCAAACAGTTTGTGGTAACTTTCCAAAATGTTGTACCTTTCAAAGTTGCTTTGGCAATATTTGGCAAGTGGCTATAGCCTTTATAAACCAATACCACTATTCCTGAGAGAGCAGCTGATCATAAATGCTCACCTTAAACATCTGTTTGACTTTCTGTCTGGGCAGGTTGACATTGAGCTTGTGCAGGAGCTGTAGGACTTCACTGATGCTCAGGCAGCCGTCTCCGTTCTTATCGGCCTCTGTGAAGGTCTGCTTCAGCCATGTGCTGGGAAGAGTTAAGGGTCTGAGAGCACAGAACCTGTAAACCTGCACTAACAACAAACATGTCAGAAGCCATTTCATCATGACAAGCATTTAAACAGCTAAAAGTGAAGTTGCAAGTTTGCTAAAAAGGTCTAGTAGCATGACAATAGCTCAGATGTTCTGAAAATTGTGTAGCTTTTTAAGTAACAATCCACTTTTTCCAACAAGTAGCAGTTTAGCATGAAGAGCTACACCACTATTCACTGATTCACTTGATTCCAAGGGAAGAAGATTCAATAGGTTGACGTAGGGAATTTTTTACAAAAGAGTAGCTTGACTGTAGCTAACTACGTTTATAAAAACCCACTTTGACTGTAACTGACTACTTCTAAGTTCTAAAATACAAGTAGCTTGTAGTTTAGCAGTTTCAAAGTAGCTTCCCAAACAGAGAATTAGGGGTGTGCGATATTTATCGTCTATGATAATATCGTAATTGTTGTTTTAACGATATGTGAGCTGACGTATGTCACTCACTTTGCAAAAAACAAAAACACATCTTGAGAGTCCAAAAGCATTCAATGCATGATGAATCCTATTAGAATACAATGCAGTTAGAATGACCATATAATTCAAGTTATAAAGAAAGGGTTTTTATATATATATATATATATATAAGATATGATATAGATAAGTAATATCACACAAGCAAGAGTGCTGGCCATTTTCCTGAATATTAGCTTGTGAGCGAATGTGATATTAACTTTATACAACAGTTCAAAAAACATGAATTTAATATTGAGTGAGTTGCATTTTAGACATAGTATTTCTGTTTTGCCCACGAAAATAGCTCCAAACAAAGACAGAGCAGAACTTTTGCGCATCTCAGAGCAACAGTGTTTTGTTCCTGAATGAATGCATTTTTGAATGAATCATTTGAGTCAATGATTCAATAATCCTTCATAAAGACAGCCCCTGCGTCCCAATGTTCATACTATCCTTTCTAAATAGTACGTGAGATTAGAATAAGTGTGTCCCAAAGCATAGTATGAAAGGAGTATGTCAGAAGTCCCCGGATGGTCTACTATTTCAGGTCGAATTTTGAAGTGTTTATCTGTGCAAACTAATATGGCTAATATTGCCCACAATTCATTGTGCTTTGGTGAAGGATTCAGTTCAGAACTACAAACATGAATAAAAAGCATTTAAAAAAACTTCAAACATGGCAGGTGTGCGCGATAAATTGGTTAGAGTTACTAATAATCAACATTTAACCTGGTAAAAAAATAATTTATTTTATGTTATCTGCAATGTGAACTTTTATAAACATCCGTTTGGTCATTAACGTTTAAATGCATCATTACACAAAAATATGAGCAGAGTTCTCCGCATAAAGACCCACGGCTGGCAGATCAACGAGCTACTTTTCTCTCTAATACAGTAGGAAGATAAATGAAATGAAATGTTAATTGTGACAAGATGATTGACAGGCCAGTTTACAGTGACAGGACGCATGTAACTGTGCGACAAAGCATCCGTTAAAGACGCAATTGTATGACAATTAATAGTTTGTCCGAAAGCTTGCCTACTCTTCTACTACACACTCAAAAGTGTGTACTTTTTCTTCACCAAAAGAGCACATACTTTTAGGGCATAGTGTAAGTAGGCGAATTGGGATGCAGCAAGCCACTTAATTTGTTTCTAAATGAATCAACCGTTTCGAACAGATCATTTCAATGAATAATTCAATGAATCACTCAATAATCGCTTATTAAGACAGCAACGTGCTGCCACCCACTAGCAGTTTTAGTGTCATATTTATTTCCCCATGACAGGCCTAAACCAGCCAAGGTACCGGCATAAAAACACACTAAGCACAATCTGACCTGTGTTGCAGACTGGAATTAACCACACCATGCTGGTTTCGTCTGGCCAGAGGAGAACTGGCCCCCCGACTGAGCCTGGTTTGGTTACTCCCAAGGTTTTTTCTCCATTTCTGTCACCGATGGATATTTTGGTTCCTTGCCACTGACGCCTTTGGCTTGCTTAGTTACACTTGATTTCTGGCAATATTGTCGGCTTGATTGCACAGACACTATTGGAAGAGAGCTGAACTAGATGATGACATCACTGAACCATTTACTTCTTGTGAAATATTTACTTCTTGTTATTGTCTACTTGCATTATTGACAAACTATTTTCCTGTTTGACACTGTAAAGCTGCTTTGACACAATCAGTATTGTATAAAGCTCTATACAAATAAAGGTGATTTGATTTGACAAAGCAAAATATTGTTTAAATTATCGATATCGAAAAAATCACAAAACTATCAAGATTTTTCAATATCACACACCCCTGGATGGAATCTAACTCTTCTGACAGTTCCAATGTGCTCATGTTTCCTAATCTACTAAAAATCAGAATAATAGTAAGACAGATAGTGTCAACTTTATTGAGTTTCTGGATTGGGAGCTTCATCAGAAAGGATATTGATCACGAGTCCGTTGCCGTTTGGCCAGACTGTCTTCATCGCTGATGCCGGCCACAAGGTACTTAAGGCCAGTAATCCAGGTGCGAGCTTCTTCTCCTGTTCCTGACACCAGGTCAAGGGACTCCATGTGCTCGCCATAGTAGATGCTGAAGCAGCAGTTGGGATCAAAGCTACCGTCGGCATACCGCTGGAAGATCTCCGACTGCTTCCCCTCACACACCTCCCGAATGGAGTCGATTGCGACTGTGAGGAGAAGAAAAAACACTGCAATAGGCACTGGGAAGTTACAGAAAGAGATGACATTTACGCTGTAATCCTGAGGTGTTCATTAACATTCTACTTTCCTCCAAGCCGCAAAATTCTCAAAGAAACATCATCTCGCATCAACATCCCAATGCTACGAATGTGTGTAATGAAGTCTCTCAAGAACAGATTATGTAAATGAGAAGAGCAGATGGCTACCTCAAATTAAACACTCTCCTACACCAATGCAGACCATTTGGAAACATTTAATTCATCAATTTGGGCTCATTTAAACCGGTCTGCCAAGAGTAGCCACATCTGAACAGCATGCTGTAGTAGTACATTCCTCGACAAGCAATCCAAATAACTACTGGATTGGCAACTGATTCAACACATGCCCGTTGACTAACACACGTGTTTGAGATGTATCACCAGTGTTGGGGAAAGTTATTTTTAAAAGTAATGCATTACAATATTGCGTTACTCCCTAAAAAAAGTAACTAATTACGTTACTTAGTTACTTTTTATGTGGAGTTACTTATTTGAAAAAGTAACTCAGATATTTCCTTCTAAATGAAAAAGTAATGCGTTACTTTACTAGTTACTTAAAAAAAGTAATCTGATTACGTAACTCGCGTTACTTGTAATGCATTACCCCCAACACTGTGTATCACCATATTATCAAGATGGGATTTTAGACAAATAAATACAATATATCTGTTTATTACTCTCTAGAATTCTTGATTCTGATTGGTCAATCATGGCTTTCTGTATTTTACATTGAAATATTCTTGTAATTATGCTAAACGGTAAACTGTAAATTGTCAACAACACAGTTAAGAAAGAAAGATAAACAACACGTAAGTGCATTTAAGAAAGATTAGCCAGAAGAAAGACCATATGGAGTCATTTTACAAACATAGTTTTCTTGTGTTGACATATTTCCATCTGAAACAGGAAGTTGGAGCAGGACAAGCTGGAGCTTTTTGAAAAGTATCCAAAAGCTTTCATTATACATGGCGACAAGGCAAAACCACACTTGACATCTTGTGTAATCTGTTGTTGACATTACATTTTTTTTAACCAAAATATTAAATGCTGCTATTCATCTTTTTGTTTGTATGTTGTTATGCAACAATTTTTTTGTTTTCAAAAGAATAGCTTGATTGTGGTTGAAATACCAAAAACTGAAGTGAAACGTTAGGCCTACGTATACAGATTATCTATATTGCAGCAGGTAAACGTGTATAAAACGCATAAAAAGCACCATGTGCATGCAATTTCCAGTAGGAGACCTCTAGGCTGCTAAATAATGCAGATCGAGATGGTAGTAAACACTCAGATGATCTTATTGTTGCACGCTGTCAACATATTTGGTATCATTTGGATTCTCTATGAATCCTTACAGACTCAAAGTTCTCTACCCTGTTGAAAAAAACAGCATATGCTGGTTAGGTATGTTTTGAAGCATGGCAGCTGGTTTGAGCTGGTTTAAGCTGGCCCTGAACTGGTTATAAGCTGGTTTAAGCTAGACATGTGCTGGTCCTAAACTGGTCCAATGCAGTGTTAATTTCGTTGATGAATAATTTTCGTCTTAATTTTCGTCAACGACATTTTTTTAACCGACGATAACGAACTAAAACTCTTTTCTAATTACAAAATTTATGACATAAATCTATTGACATTTTCGTCAACGAATAAAAACGAGACGAAAATGTTAGGGAGGGACGATTTGGGAAGAGATTCATTCAGAACGAATCTGTTGCATAGTTAGGAGGTTAGATGCATACATATGAACTGGCGGGACATAAGCTAACATACACTTGCTGCACGTCGCATAAAACGTAAAAAAATGTCAATATGTGGGAGTAGGAGAAGAGCAGAGATATGGATAAATCTGACGACGCAAGAGAGAGAACTCAATTCGGTCCGGTTTTCTGAGCGCAGACACTGAAGCATACACACACAGAAAGCGCGTC